TTTGATTAGTATCTCTCTATGGCACTTAACAACAACAACAAATGGAATCTTTGATCAGACTGTTCCGTAACCATCCAGTCCTTCTAGTTTCATGGCAGAGGTGGCAGTAGTTCATGGAGGCAGTTAGCCATACATTCCTAACCCTCCTCCTATTCCTACCTCTCCTTCCTCTGTTGTTCTAGGGGAATAGATAACTCATGTATCCAGTCACTATGCAATGAATTAGGAGATGGAACATAAACACATTTTTAGGCCAGTTAACTGGGATGTCCCATGGAACTATGACCCTAAACCTCCAAACTAAGGAACCAAAGCCCATGAGGTGGTTAATAAACAGCTTCAACAGCTACTCTTTAAAAAAAAAAAAAAAAAAAATGTGGTCATTGTTATAAATACATCTATCACACAGCTTTTCCAATTCAACTTTTTACAGGTGTACCACTTACAGCAATGACAGTAATTGGCTGTGCAGTTCTACTCTTAATCAAAATGATTTTTTTCCATCACTGTTAACCCCTTTTATCCATCTCTCTCACCACTGGTAAGCACCAGTAAACTTTAGTTTCTATACATTTGCCTCTTCTTGCCTTTTAATATAAGTGAGATCAGACAATCCTTTTGTGTGTGACTGGCTCTTTTAGCTCAGCGTAAGCCCCATCTCCAAGCCCCATCTATACTGTAGCATGTATCAAGACTTCATTTCTCCTTGTGGTTGAGTAGAATTCCATTGTAATGTGTGTACCACAATTTATTTATTCATTTCATCTGTTAATCGGCATTTCGGTTGTTTCCACTTTTTGGCTATTGTGAGAAGTACTGCAGCAAGTCTCTTTTTGAATTGCTGTTTTGAATCTTGCTATGTATTTAAGAGTGGAGTTACTGGGTCAGATGGTTGTTCGGTTTTGATTTTTGTGAGAAACTGCCACTCTATTTTCCACAGTGACTGTACCATTCTGCATTCCTCCCAGCAGTACATAAGGGTTCCAGTGTCCCCACATTTTTGCCAATATTTATTTTTAAAGAATTAATCTTAGTTGACCTAGTGGAAGTGAAATGGTATCTCATAGTTTTTGATTTGCATCTCTCTCATGACTAGTGAAACTGAGTGTCTTTTCATGTGTTTGCTATTTGAATGCCCTCTCTGGTGAATTCAGTTCTTTGCCCATTTTAAGATTGAGTTATCTGTCTTTTTCTTGTTGTTGACATGATTATATATTTTGGTTATTAGATTTTTGTCATATATATGGTTTATGAAGATAGTTGTTTTTTTTAACTTTTTGGTGTAATTTGGCTATAAGTTTAGAGTAAATGAATTTTCTATTCAGCAATTTATTCACATTTTATATTGAGGCACTGGTTACAGCCCTCACAGTGTAGCAGCGCTCTTCCTGTTTCCTCCCTGGATTCCATTTCCATTTGTCCTTCTTTCCTGCCCCTTCCTGCTCCTACTTTCTGAGCTTTGTTTTTTGGCAAATGCTACCCTTTTGGTCTTATATGGTTGTGTCAAGGAGTACATTTCGAGGAGTACATTTCTTGCTGTCTGTTGTTTGGTTAAAAGTTGATCCCCAGGGATGGGTTCAGTTCCAGACTTGAAGGGGTGTCTAAGGGCCACAATCTAGGGGGTTCTATAGTATCTTTTAGACAATATGGTATTTTTTAATTTGTTCTGCTCTATCTTTTGTGATCACAATTACAGTGTTTGCATGATAAAGTCTTTTGGTGAGCAAAAGTTTTTAATTTTGAGGAAGATCCATTTGTTTATTTTGTCTTTCGCAGTTTCTGATTTTCTTGTTATATTAGTTAGTCCACTGTTGAAAGCTAGGCCTGACAATGTTGCCTCTCCTGTGAATTTTTTTAGGAAGTTCACACCCTATGACTGTGGCTGTGTGGAAGGAGGATGCTTAGTTTTTAAGAAGCCAGGGATATCTGTGGATGTGGCATTTGAAAAGACTAAAAATTTTTTTTTTCTTCCGGAAATGAGTGAAGGCAGCAGGGAGCAGAAAAACTTTTTGAATTTGAATATAATCTAGTAACATAAGTCCTGGGCCAATGTTGGGCTCTAGGATCTTTGTCCTTATCTTCTCTAGAACAGTGTCTCCTTCTCCATCATAAATCACTTTATGATGTGAATCTATAACTACAAACAGAAAATTTCAGATCTTCATGGGAAGTCCTGACCTGTCCCTTTTCTTTCTCATTTCCTCAGTTATTTATAGGTTGACCTTTTACTCTGGGTACTTTTCCTCTTTTTCTTGTCTTCCTATTTGATTTATAAAGTCCCTTTTTGCTTCTTGTCAAACACCTTTATTTAGTCCGTGACTATTTGCATCTCTGTTAATGAACCATGGCTAATTTGGGATGTGGATAGGAGGGCGGTAGAGTTAAGGGTTAGATGAATGCCTCCCCCCCCCCCTCCCCCCAATCTCTTTCTCTCCTGGGAATGGAAGAAGAAACTTGTGATGGGTGGGGCTCTGCAGAGACCCATGTGACTTAGCAGGTACCCAGAGCTAAAGGGAAACCCAGGGTAGGACTGAGCCTCTGTCCTGCCGTATTGGCTTTGTCTTCCTGTGCTGTTCTATTTCACAGTCTGGATTCTTTGCCCCTGCTTTGAGAATTACAAGGGGCTGAAATGTATATTAAAAAAAAAAAAGTCAATCTTTTATACTCCTTTCTTACATTGTTGTATGCATGTATATTGGGAAATCTATTAGGGAACCCATAAACTGTGGAATAGAACAGAAGTCTTAGAGACTGTCATTTGGTGCATTTTCAATATGCAGATTGCTGTTCCAATTAGATTGAAACCTCTATTTGGCAGAGTGGTTTTGTGAAATAAATAACTTTTGAAGAAGGCCTCCTATATATAATAAATATATATATTTTTCCTTCAGTTGCCGGCAGTGAGCTTCCTGCCTTCCAAACCCGTGTCCTGAAACGCTGAATCAGAAGCCAGCAGCATCTTTGGGCTCTTTGCAGAATAAATGCTTCTCCTTTGCTTTCCTGGCACAGGGATTTCATCCTTGATTTACAGTCCTCAGCTTGTTAGCTCCTGCGAAGGGGAGATGGTGTGAAGGTCATTATGTCCGGTTTGTCCTCTTGATGAGAAAGTGAGGGTGTCTGTTTCTTCTTGTGTGGTTGTGGTGGTAGTGGTGGTATTCTCATATCCCCCCCTTCCTCCCTCCCCCCCATGAGCAGGTTCAAACTTTGGCTTCTTTCTCTCCACCCTCGATATGCCATCCAACAGGGGTGAATGATTTGGAAAGCCTAATTTCAGGAAGAGTGACAGATAGTGAGTGGAGAGCTCCTCTCCATCCCACACCCCTCGCCTAGCCCATCCGTGACAAACTGACAGATAATTAACAGATCAGGGCCTCCTATTAGCTGAGTCCGGTGCTGGAGGCTGCTCTTGCTTTACACAGGTCCTTCAGCAGCTCTGTGTATCTGAGTGGTGGTACGCTAAGTGGTCAGAGCCGAGAGGGCAGGGAGTGCTTTGGCAAAAGCAAACAGAATGCTCTCTGAAAGAGAGAGTGCTTAAAAGGGAGAGAGGGGGCATCGAGGTGCCCCGCTTGAAAGCACGTGGTGAGAATACTTGGACTTTCAGGGCTGCGATCCTGCACACTATCGCCTGTCTCAGGGAACGGAGATCTGGGCTATAATAGGATGCCTGATTACAAAGACATTTTGAAGGCCACTTAGTTCCAGGTCAGGCTGTGCATTAGGTGCACTAATTCTTTGCTGTAACACTGGACTGGAATTGCAGAATTGGAAGTATGCAGCCTGCGTGTTATCACTCTGGCATTAGATATTTCCATCCTGGCACTGCCCTGCGTGGCTCTCGCTCAGCGACCCAACTTTTCTTTCTCTGGGGAAAGAAGACTTCATTGTGAGAATCTTCTCTACTGTAGTGACTTAAAAACTGCTTTTCTATTTATCTTGTGTGGTCACTTTTCTCCTTTTTATGATTTGAAATATTAACTGCTGATAAATATAGCAACATGTATGGACTACACATAGACTCCGGCCCTGAGGTCTGGCATGTTGGAGCAGAAAGAAATACCTAATTGCATCACAACCACTCTAAGTTCATGTATGTGGAGCCCATCAAGCTGAAAGCATCCAGACAGCATCTGCTGTTATCAAATCACTCATGAATCCAGCTAATTAAAATAGAGCTTCATTTTTCTGAACCATTGTTTGGCAGGAATTCGAAACGGGTCTAACCCAATTTCTGCGTGTTTATGAGCCTTTATTATATCAGAGATACTTTTCTGTGAATGTACAGGGCAGCGTTAAATGAATTGATCCACGCTGTATCACTGTAGACGCACTATGGACTTGCTAATGATTTCTCTTCCAGCTTTCTAGTTTCCAGACATACTCTTGAAAGCTTTCTCCTTTCCTCTCCTCTCTTCATTGTCCTCCCCACCCCTCCAACTTCAATTTAACCTTTTACTTTTAACCTTTTTTTCTTTGAAAAGATGATAAGTTTTTCTTTGTTCCCTTAATGAAGTGTTCTTTCCCTTTTCTTCCTCTTTTTCTGTTTTTGCTTTTCTTCTAGTGGGTAAGATTGGTCTTTCCTCTACCTTTCTTTTAATTTCTTGCTGTCTTCTCTCTTCTTTTTCTTTTTCTCTCTCAACCTTCCTGCCTTTTTTTCCATATCATCTCTCAACTCTTTCTCCTTTTTCTCTTCTACCCGCCTCCTCCCATTTCTCCTAATAAAATATTGCCTCCACATGCAAATACAGATCAGGGCAGAAAGTAGGCGTCCTATACATGCAGAGAGATTGTCTGCTCTGACATGACGTCAGCCTGTTTTGCTTTTCTGAATTTGCTTCAGCACTTTATTTTATTTTTTAAAAAGATTTTCTTCAAACCACATCTACTCTGTTTTATAGTCTAGTAATCCTACTTTGAAGATGAAAAGTATTATATAAATGCCAACTAATTATTCCTTGTGATACTTTGGTGAGTCTTTAAGCAGTATTAGTTCCATTTTACAGATGAGGAAGCAGAAACAGGAAAGGTAAGAAATTTCTGAAAGTTACTGAAGAAGTTGGTAACTGAGCTAGAATTAAGACCAACTCATCTTTAGCTTTGATTCCTGATTACCACTTTGTAGGAGTTTACTTTTCTCCCCATAAATTTGTGGAGCAATTCCAGTATTTTTGAACTCCCCTTTTCCCAGGAATGGTTTGAAGCCCCTTCCTTTGTGTGTAAGGTAAGTATAAGAGTATGCTGCTCCTTCTGCCCCTTGCCTTCGTGTCCTCTTAGCCTTCAGAAGTTTAATCGTAGGCTTCAACTGTTAAATGAATTTCTAGGTAATTCCTGGGAAAGAAGGATGCCAAACCACTTATGGGTAATCCCGTCCATTACAATCTCAAAGCAGAGCGCTCACTTTTTGTTTCCAGCAGTTTCCAGTAAATGGGCTCACGTCACATGCGCTGGCCCCATTGTAGGAAGCACTGCCATATTTGATTGAATTTAGCCATTCTGGAATGACGTGTGCATGAAGTAGTCTCTTGCATTATTGTGGCCTTTATTATTGCTAATGCATTCTGACATTACAGGTGTAGCCTTGGCTCTCCCAGAAAGGGCAAGGCTACTCTTACCAAGCCTAAGAGCAGAATTCATGAAACTGTTGTACAGTGAAACCAGTATTCACATTTAGTTAATAGGCAAAGGGAAATGCTTTTAGAGAAAAGAGCTGAGTGACAGAAGCCTGTTCTAATTTCTCACCCAGCATTTTTTTTAAAGGATCAGTTTGTATTTTTCACCTGCCAAGGGTTAGGGTCAGTAGAGAGAAGATTCAGGAAAGAAGATTCCGCTCAGTTTAAAGAACTCCCGAAAATCAGTTGGTTTTCTCTCTTGAGAATGAGCTCCCTGTTCATCATAAGCATTCAAGCATAGGCTCACTGATCATTTGTCAGGGTTGACAAGGGGAGACCTAGATCATGTGTGGCACTGGATGGCCTGAGATGCTTACATCTTCTGGTCTTTTTCCTTGCCCTGGGTTGTAACAGCAAAAACAGCATCTTTGCTTATTTGGGTCGATTCCCTAAGTGCCTGATAGACTATGAGGACCCAATGAATGCTCAGTAACTATTTGTTATTTAATCTCTTTGGCTTTCTATTTCTTAATCTAACTTGAATAAAACTACTCTTGTTCATTTAGCTCAGGAAAACCAGTCTCTGGCATGCTCATGGAATGAGTCATTCTGGATAGCCACATTTTCTGAATGACCATCGAGATCCATATGAGAACAGAACAAACAAAACATTTAAAAAGTTTTGGCTGAAAATTGTATAAAATAGATTATATACTTTCTTGCTTTATTAAGCAGAGGATCTGGAATATAATTTGATCCTGGAATATAATTTAATCCTGGTGACTAAGGATCATCATTTTAGATGTACATGCTTATCTTGTGCTGTAAGTGTAGCTCTGTTTCCAAAACCTGTTGAAATATAGATGCTATATAATTTGCCCCTGCTTGAAACTATTCTACCTTTGCTAAAAACCCTAAACTAACAGGCTCTTTGAATTTTTTGTTTGCTTTTTGTAGATGTATCTCTCTTGAATCTGCTGTTGGGCTTTTCCTGCTATCACTTTGTTCTGCAAGTGCCCCTATCCTGGCTGGCTTGTTCTTCTTTCTCACATGCAGTTTTTAGTCTTTGGATATTTGGACACCAGATAACTAAGCCTGTTGCTGCTGTTGTTAAGTGCTGTCGAGTCGTTTGTGACCCAAAGCGACCCTTTATAGGGTTTCCGAGGAGCGTCTGGTGAGCTTGAACCATCAACTTTGTGGTTCAAAACGACTTTGCAGTCCAGTGCATTAGCCCACAGCACTACACCAGGACTCCAATCGTGTTAGGGTTATGTATATATGCAGTAAGTAGTAAGCTTTGCTATGTAAATAGGTGGGATTTGTAATTTTCTTCGGCAGTAGTGATTTCTGTGCTGCTCCCTCTCCCCTTCTCTGTCCATTGGATTTTGACATTTTTTTAGAGTTGGATGAGATTGGAGAGCTGAACTCCAGAAAAGGCCTTGACTGTAGACCTACTTGAACCAAACCCATTTCCCTGGTCTAGGTGTTACAGGCTGTCTCATGGGACAAACTTAAAATTTACAAAATGTCTCAGCTGGAAGGGTCCAGAGGATCATCGGCTTATCCCTTTATTTTATAGAAATGAAAGCATTTGAGGTGCCAAACTGGGAAATGAGAGGTTAGAGCTCATGAGAAGTTAGTGTTCTGGTTGAACTTTACACAGCTTTCCTGAGACATAGCCCCTCCATGTTCTGCCCTGCTGTCTGTCAGGCTCTGTTCCTTACCAACTTTTAACGGAACGTGTGAACGAGAAAATGTGGCTATTTGTGTGAGGCAAAATCATGGGGAAAAATTGCCTGCTGACTCAGGGGCAGTTTCAGAATTAAAGCACATAAACCTAAAAAGGCTTCTGTTTGTTTCAGTGTTTATCTGTGTTTGCACTCAAGGCTGATATCGATATTGTAAGAGAAGCTTTAATCCTCTCATTCAAATTTACAAGAAATGCTGTTTCCTTTTAGTTAAAAAAAAAAAAAAAAAGTCCAAGAGCGCATTTGATTTGAGGAACCAAAAGTCTTGAAAATGTATCCGGGAGTCCTCGTCAATTTGGGGCATAATGAAATATAAAAAATACTCAATAAAAGCTCCTTTATTACTTTAACTGTTTAAATGTGGAGTTTGTAGCCATCAGGTTAATGTTTTGGTATCATTTTTTTATTTGATTGTGAGCACTTTTCCAGGTAGCTCTGCCACTCGAGCACTAATCAGATTCCCACAGATGAATGGTGCTAGCTGCAGCCTTACATCACTGCGTTTTTACTTCGACATTATTTTATTTGGTTTTCCTGTAAAAGTTAATAACTCTGTGTGCCCATGTGTTTCAACAGGCAGGAGGAAAGAGGGAGAAAGGACAGTGAACAGAAAACCATGGGAGATGTCTCAGGAAGCTTTTTACTCAGTGGAGGGACTTTGGGGGTTTTTGTCATTTCCAAGTATTTCACCCTTGTGAGTGTGGTGTATGGAGAATAAAGAAGGTTGAAAAGCAAGATGGTAATTCATAACCCTTCACATAAGAAAGAGTGAACTTTTCTCTGTTTCCCAGACAAAGCTGGAAGGAGTTTGAAATGAGTTTACTATTGATTTAAGGAGCTCTGGTAGTGTAGTGATTACGAATCGGGCTGCGACCATTAAGGTCAATGGTTCGAAACTACCAGCCGCTCCGTGGGAGAAAGATGAAGCTTTCTACTCCCGTAAAGATTTACACCCTTGGAAACCCTGTACAGGGTTGCTATGGGTCGGAACCTACTCAACAGCACTTAACAACAACAATTGATTTAGTGAAGGTTGAGGAAGCTCAATAGAACTGATTTGCTTAATGGTGAGAACTGTTTAAATTTTGCATTAATTGTAAGTAAATTGTGTGCTCATTTGGCATCTCCTTGATGACCAAGGTTGGTAAGAACATGAGACTTAGAGTATAAAGACCCTTGTTTTCAAGTTCCCTTTATAGGTACGAAGCAGTGACTGTAGCTGAGATGGTGCTGTGTGTTTGTTTATTGGTGTGGTCTATGATGTTTTAGTGAGAGGTTACTGAATGGTTCAGAGCTGTGAAGCTTATCATTTGATTCTTCCTGTGTGCTGTGGATTTCCTTGTTGAGCTCAACATTTCTATGTTGGGGCTTGTCAGAGGAGGAACCTGGTGTCAATTGATTCAGTTTCCCTTTTGAATTTGTACCTTGTATCAAGACATAGTCTGTGGGTGCAAATCTGGTAATGGGTTTGAGATTCAATTCCACAGTCCTTAATCTCAGTGGCTGTAAAAGAAGTCTTCAAAATGATGACTGTTTCATCATCTGCCTCAGATATATAGCATCTTGATTCTCTGTTGCACACTTTGTGTGGATAAATGTCTTATATTGTTGTTAGTTGTTGTTGAGTCGGCTCCCCATTCATGGTGACCCCATATACAACAGAACAAAATGTTGTCCAGTCCCGCACCATTCCCACCATCAATTGGAGATTTGTCAGTGTGATTCCAAGAGTTTTCATTAGCTAATTTTTGGAAGTAGATTGAGGTGTATAGGCTGGGAATCAAACTTGGTCTCCCACATGAAAGTCTACCATACTGAACTATCATTGCTCAAGTTACTTGGTGTAATGTATGCTAGATACCCCTGTCTTAGAAAATAGAACTTGACTACCAGCTCATTTCCTATGGCTGTGAGGAAAGTCTGACCTCTTATTGCCAGAGTTGATTTCGCTGCTCTTCCTGTCTGTGTGGATGGCTGTCCCCAGGATCCACTCTAAGAAACCTGTTAGCTTGGTAATAAAGGTGACTTGCCTTGAGAGTAGCTGATTTCATTTGATCACAGAAATTTGAAGATTTTTGAGTCTACCAGCTTATTCTATTATGAATCATATTTTTGGAATGCTTACTACCCATTTCCCCCCTTAAGAGCTTGAAAGTGTCTAAAACAATAGCAGGGACCAGGACTTGGTGGTCTTCTTTATTAGCAGCTCTGAATTGGCGTCTTGGTGTGGTGCTGTGGGTTAATGCGCCAGACTGCAAAGCCATTTGAACTGCAAGGGCATCGGTTCAAGCTTATCAGCTGCTCCTTGGAAACCCTGTACAGGGTCGTTATGGGTCGCAATCAACTCAACGGCACTTCACAACAACAATTGTTTACTACCTTGTGCCTCCCCGTAGATTAAAGGTGATCTTTAGCTACCTACATTTGTCATTTCTAATTCTTTTCTCACTGTATTTTGGATTTGAATTAATTCTAGGCTTTGGTTAGTTCTTTTTTTATATTTAAACCTATTTTTTTTTTAAAAGTTTTTATTGTGAATTGAGTGATAGTTTACATGGGAGAACATCAGTTTAACACTCATCGTTTCACTGCAATGATTGCAATCTCCTCTGTGAATCATCATTCAACAGTATTTGCTTCTATTCCTTCTGTGGGTTTTTTCGGGGGATGTACACAGAAACACTCAGGAATATATAATCATTTAAACAACCAAAGGGCACATTCTGCAAGCCTGCCTCCTGGCCACCAGCACACTGCTTTTCTTTTTCTGTGAGTCTAGAGTCCTCACCTGCTCTATCTTTCCATGTCCTCATCTCTGCCTCCATCTCTGGTGTTGCTGCTTCTCTGGATAGGGTCCCAACAACCTCTTGTTGTTTTTAATAAAGTTTTGTGCTATATATGTGGGGTGAAGGCAGACAGCATTTCTTGGGCCAGAGCTTAACTTTTTCAATTCAGGAGCCCATCAGTTTCCTCTTTGTGGAGAAGGTGCCATAAGTCATGGTGAAGGGATCCTGCCTAGTGCCTCCTAGTGGTGATCGGTTCAGGGACCAACCCACAGTGACAACTTGAAACTTGGAGTTGTCATTATCCATGACACAACCTTTCTTTATCCGTTTCATAATCCCATAGCTCAATAGTGCATGACTGAAGCTTCACTATCCCTGTCTGCTCTGGACATCAAAAGAGGTGGAAACTAACGTAGTACTTCATTCATTGAGCATTAGAAAGGTACTAGACTGTAAGAGAAGTAACCTTCACAAAGTGTAAAATTCAGCCTGTGATAGAGGCAGTGGTATCATTAGGAAGGTCCTGGGGACTGTATACTATGTATTTTTAGTGTTGGAGTCACCAGCCACTGTCACTGTGTGAGCTCACAGTTCTCCTAGGGAGCATCTTGGACACTGAGTTATTACATTCCTTTGGAGTGATTCAACTCAACAGCTTGACACCTTCATTAATTTTACAACACGAAGCCTGGGTGCTCTTTGCTTCCTCTTTAACAGTGCAGGGGAATTAGAGGAATACTGAAAATATAAAACCAAGGAAAACTGGAAGAAGGAGCAGTTAAGGAGCTGTTGAAAGACATTGTGTTAGGAAATTGAGCTGTTTGCCTTTTGTTGGTGCCTCTGGAGACTGAGCACCCAACTCTTGCCACTTGTCTGTGGTACATAAACCTTTCATTTCTGCTCCTGGCATGCTGGCCAAGCCTCAGACTCGCAGCCAGCTCGTTTGCCTTCTCTGTTGAGGTCACCGCTACCGTGATCCGTGTATAATGGCATTTTCCTCCTCTTTTCAGTATGGAAGCTATTACAGCTTCTTCTCTAAACAGGACTTCAAACAGTTTGCTGCCAGTTGGATTTCAAAGCCAGAGAAAAGGCAAATGTCATCCTTTTTTCCTCCCCTCTTTGGGTAACTGCTTTGTTGGTTGCTTCAAAAATTAGAGGGGTTGCTATCAAAATTCAGGTGGGAATGCATGGGGACAAGACATTTAAATTGGCTTTTTTCTCTTTCCTGGAAGAAGGAAATCCTTTTCCTTCTCAACCTTTCCTAAAAAGGAACTTTGATCTTTGTAACCCAGAAGCAAGGGTTTTCAGTTCCTCTACAGCAAGCTCAGATGCTCCGGGTCTTACTGTGGTGGACTCAGACCTGGGTGGGGGAGGGTGGGCACCGGCAGCTTGACTTTCCAGCCAGCTGGAAGTTGGCACCCAGGGTACTAGGCTAGATGTGAATACCTCTCCAAAGTCACTTGTACATTCCTAAAGTCACTGTCACTTGATAGTAAATAGTGAGTATTGGTTTCTGATGCTTTTTATTTCACATAAGTTTCTGGAAACGCTATTTTAATAAAATAACAAAACAGTGACATCCTGGCAAGCTGTTCACACAATATTTTTAACTAGGACCAAGAAAAAAAAAAATTAAATAGCAGAGATATTTCACTTTGAAAGGTCGTTTTTTTGCACGTGTGAAGTTGCCACTTTTCATAAAGGCTTTTACTACATATATCAGTGTGTTTTCAGCCAGATGAGGGTCAATAATGCCTGCTTTAGAATGCCCTAGATACAGATTTACACAATAGACATTAAAATATGTGATGTTCTCTCTGGCAGACTTTTTTGCACTTCCACCAGAGGTATTTTATTTCTTTAATGTGAAAAACAAAAGGACAGAGTACAGTAAAACAAAGGAAACTAGGGCCCATAGCTTAATTAGTAGAAGGTTGTAACCCAAATCAACAATGGGAAGGACACTGTGACAAAAACCAGGAAATTCCAAGTGGAAAGAGAGTCTCTTTCCTTTAACTCATTGCTAGCCAGCTTCCCCAGGTGCTGGAGGCTGCCTTAAGTACAACTATAACTCCCTGGCTTTTGTTGACTCCTCTCCTCTCTCCTTTACCCCCTCAATGTAAATGAAACATACCTTTTTGTATGTGCATTAATTGTAGATAAATGGGCTAAAAGTGCCTCTTGATTTTGTAACCCTTGGAGAAGGGGAAAGAGTAAAAAAAAAAAAAGAAAGAAAGAAAGAAAGAAAAAGACCCTGTCACTGTCATCTGTTCATTTTTAATGAGCAATTTTAAAAAATTGAAAATAAAAGAGGAAAATGAATAGGTGTTGAACCAGCCCGTGATATGTAAATGCCAACTAGTAATTACCTAAAACCTCAATTTTCATTCTGTTTCATCTTGCAAAACATTTCATTTTCCCTGAGTGAAAACACTTAATTTGGGCTGTGTGCGTTTGTGGAGCGGCCGCCGCTGGCCTGCGTCTCCACTGGCTCCGGCTAGGGGGCACTTTGACTCTGCGCTAGGCTGCGGAGAGCTTCGTCCACCTCAAGGTTATTCCCCTCTTGCCATTCCAGTGGTTTTGCTCTGAGTGCTCCATGGAGCCCCTCCCTCCCTCCCCGCCCCCCCAGTCTGGTTTCGGGGAGCCTTCTTCCTCCTTGTCCTTGCAGAGTATTATATTGAATTTTGGCTGACCGAGCCTTCCTCTGCATATTAACTTTCCCTTCTTACCTGGCTGCTACACTCTTGGCTTCCCTGAAGTGGATTTCACACTCAGAGAGCAGCTCTCTGCCAGTCTGCCTTTGAAATTTCAAACACAATCATTTCTCTTTCTTTCTTTAAATTGCTTCTTTTTTACCCTTTTCATTTTGTGTCAGGGGTTACTTGCCTCGGTTAATGCTTACAGTCCTTTGCTCTTTTGCCATACTTAGAATAGTGATTCTACTGTGTCTTTTCTTTTCACTCTGTAAGTGTCTTTTTCTTCAGGTTTTGTCTCTGCCACCTTTGGGATGTATTTGTGCAGCAGCTTGGAATGTGGCTGGTGGTTGCCTATGCTTCTGTCCTTCCCCAGACTGTTCCTTGGCTAGAAAGAGAGTGTGTAGCATTGAGGAAGAGAATGAAGAGCCTAAGATTGTGAACAGTAGGTTACAGAAGAGTCTGGATGCGGAAAACCAGAATTATGTTGTCCTAGGACCCTGGATCTGTGCGCGTTCTGCCTGGAGTCGCAAGGAACCCGGCCTCTTTAGTGAGATATATAGCTTCATAATTAGCCCGTTGCATTTTTTCACGAGTGCTAGCATCAGCGTTCTCCGATGTGTTTCTCTGATTAACAGCTGCTTTGCAACTATTTCCTTGTGCCACCGATGACCGTATTTGTCAAGGAACTCCTGACAGAGTACTGATTTCTTACTAAAATGCAGCTTTTCTGTTTGAAGAAGATTCTCTCATTGTTGGCACTGCCTTTTAAAGTCAATCCTTGTTAAAACTCTTGTTGGCTTTGGTCTAACGCATGTTAACAGGATTCTGGGTCTCTACTTTAGAGTAGGAGTAGAGGAACCTTTCACAGGCAATTTAATCTTCCGAGCAGGAGCAGCGCAGTGCACGTGTAACCGAGCTGCGTGGGAATGGGGCTTCAGGCCCGCACTATGGTCGTTTCCTCTTGCCCACGAGTTGTGCTGTCTCTGGGTTAAAATGGACTTGACTTTGGTTCTTAGTGCCATTAATTTTTGAATATTTTTAATATTTTACAATGCCTAATGAATGCACCCATTTTAGGAGATAGATGTGTGTGTGGTACACAGGAGTGCGGGAATTGGTGGCATTCCAAATAAGTGTCACTGTAGACAATGCATCAGGTTTACGTGTCAGGTGCAAAGTGCTCAGGCTCCCTCCAACCCCAGGTTCGTTATTAGGCAAGCTCTATTCTCCTGTCCCCATGTGCAGAAAAGAAAGTGTGCATTCCGAAGATTACAATGGGCAGGTCTTTTGTTGGAGACTTTGAGACGCAGAGGAGGTCTCTCTTCTGTTAGGACTGTCAGGAAGCTGGAGTCTTCTCACCAGGGATTACTTATCCTGCACAATGCATTTAACAGCACATAGTTCATAGCAGAGAACCCCGGAGTATACTGTATTCCATTGATTTATACACAGTTACAAATCCTGTTCTCTCAAACGCAAATCTCTCTCAATTGGCCAATCATCTTGGATCCAGAGGTGTTTTTTCAGCCTGAAGCCCCCCTTTTTCTCTGACCTGCTAGCTGTCACTCTAGTGTAGTAACCATTGCTATAAGACTGCCCAGACAAGAATTTGTTCATCTCCTCTGCACCTCAGTTTGACCTACGAGCTTTAAATGTTAGTGAAAATAATCACATTTCCCTTAAAGTTGTGGAATTGGTGGAGCCGATTAGATGTATTTTGCTTTGTTTGGGGGAGGAGGGGAGAATTGTGGAGGTGAGAAACTTTGCTCCTGTTTTCCTCTGAATTAGTCTTATTTTTAATAAAGTAGTTACTGGCAATTCAAACACCCCCTTTAAGTACTCTATCAGTGCAAAATAGGGGAAAGGGAGGCCAAGTCCGTATTTACCATGCACTCAGCAGCCAGTGGCTCAGACCACAGTATCAGGTGCTCTGTGCCAGAATTTTCTTGGGCTTGCTGCACTCCCACTACACGTGCGATAAAATAAAGTTCCTGCCTCCGTTTTACATCTTTGACGTTGAGGCGGAAGATTTGGCTTGAATTGATGTAATTTAGTTGGGCACAAATATAACCCATGACTAGTCACATTCATCTTCTAATTAGAAAATCAAACGATAATCCAGGACAAACTGCAGGCACCCCATCATTTAATTCAACAAAAGCATGTTGTGTGTGTTGAGCCTCTGCAGAGGAAAGAGGCAGTTGCTTCATGAAGTTAATGAAAAGTGTCCAACGATGGAAGCAAAAGGCACAGACTGAGTGCACCCGTCAGTTATTTAGATGTTAAAATCATTGCATTATGGGGAAAAGGGTTTGGGGAAGTCTTTAACCTTCTCTGTATGAATTGTAGAGCTTATAAAATTGTAGATTGAACAGCTCCCCCCCCCCCAGTGTAGTACCCAGTCGTGTGGGGGAGGGAGGAGGAGAAGAGTGAAGAGTAGCTGAAGAAATAATTCGTGGAAGGAGAAAGGTTTCCCTATGTTCACACTAGCATGTAGCTGCTTACCTGGGTATCTTTCTTATTCAGCACATTACATTGAGGCTATTAGTTTGGGTGCTTTATATTTTTGCATCTGGCGTAGTGATATCGATGCTGTTAAATATGTGATTTGCCTGTCGCCTGCATTTTCAGACAAAGATCAAGAGGAACATAAACAAGCCCCAAATATACTTTATGGAGGTGCTTGGCAGTATCATTTTATATGACTTGAAATTAGTGAATGGAAACTTTAAAAGAAATTGTTCATATTTTTTGCAAGTTTGAAGTGTGCCGGGACTTTGTCAAATTCCCGTTAAAATAAATACGTCAATTTCATCTCCCTTCCAAATTCATTTATCTTGCTTTTTTAAAAGGTGTTTTCTACTTTACCTGATGTTTAAATTGGATTCTCTCGTTTATGCTGTTCTTTGCTATATCCCCCACGTTTTTCTTAAATGAATTACTAATGACAGAGCACTCCATCATTCCCTCTCTGCAGCCACTTTAAGGAAAGCATGGTGATCTAAACCTTTTAACCTATTAAAGATGATTTTCCCCAATTGAATCAGACCCACCACAGGTGTAATAACTAATCATTTAAACTACACCTGCTATTATGTATTTTTAAGCCATTATGCATGTTGGATAGATGATAATTCATGTTTATTGCATTGTCCGATGGATCCGTTTTGCCTACACTAGGCTGATTAATGTATTTAAAGAAATAAGAGATGCAATTTTTAAAAAAAAAAATTGATGGAATGCGCCAAGCACTGCGTTGAGTGCACCATTAAACCCATCAGAACTTTGCTCTCTGACCAGAAATGCATCTACCAAGGACTATATTAAAAAAGGAAGGTGAAACCTGTGCATTTTAGTGGTGGGATTCTGTTTTCCTTCTCTATCATGAAAAAATTTTGGAAGGATGAAGGAAAGGTTTATGCTTCTATGGTAAATGCTAGGAACTATGCTTTTAGCATCTACTGCTGAAGACCGGTTCATCCACATTTCCTTTGACACCTGGTACACATATCAGAGTGTGCAGACTGCTGCATGATATGAATACTGTAATTTTCTTGTGTATGAAGGTGTTATTTTTTTCTCCAGGTGAAGAACAATTATCCCCTCCGCCATTTGAGCCATGCAGATTGGCGTTGACCTATGGGGCCTCTGATTCTGTAACTGTCCATTCTCTTTCCAGAGCATGGCCTTTCTTCCTTTTGTCTTCTCCCCCTTTTTCAGTCCCCCCTTCACCCTTCTCCCCTTTCCTTTCTGTTACTTCTTTGCTTTCTCTTCTTGTCCTTTGCCTTTTTTCCCCCCTCCCCTCTTCCTCCTTCTAATTGTTCCCTTCCTTCCTTTACCCCCTCTCCTATCTCTTCATTAAAATGTCTTAGTTTTGTGGATGTTTGTTAGAATCGTTTTGGTTTTGTTGCAGCATGAGGAGATCTGGTTGAGGGATTAAGGCGAGGGGGGTTGTGAATCTGCATATTGTAGTTCTAATCTCAAGCCTCAAGTTTTCTCTAGTCCAGAACTGACTGGCTATTACTGCAGCCCAGAGTGGTGGTCAATACAGAAATCTGTTTTCATTGTTGGTCAGATTATAACTAGTAGGGAGCCGGGTTTAGTTCTCAGAGAACATTAGTGTGTCTTATTGCTGACAGGTCCAAATCTGAGAAGTCCAGGGAACCTGAGTTCATCTTTTAGGGAGGATGCCTTGGTTAAGCCTCCCAAAGAATGATTATTGGAGAAATATATAAGGGAGTTGCCCTGGCTTTCACCCCCACCCTAGTTTATCCACATCTTTTATTACTAGAGAAGCCTGTCTGGTCTCAGAATTAAATTCACATAAAATATGGGAAAGAGATGATTTGTAACTTGTATTTCATTTATAGTCACAGTACTTTTTGTTTGAATCTATGCCCAACTGCTACCCTTAGTTTGAAGGATCTTAGTAAACTTTCTTATGTTTGGCTCATTAAAAATTCTTTCTTTCAACAACTTATAAGTGAACTGCAGGGTCTGTTGACTTTACCTGTAACATGAGATCATATTGTTCTTTTGGTTCTGATGGTGAATAATGCCAGTCATTTAAAACTGCCCCCTTTCTATCTGGGGCAGGTTGGCATTTCCCACCCGTCTCACTAATGTCTGGGATGGCAAGTAGACAAGCAGCCGTGTAAACACATGCTTTATGTGTGCTGAGTGATGTGGAGGCGAGAACCTTCAACAGCTTTCCTTCCATCCTCTACTTGCCTGATTTGGGAGATATGAAGGTTTCATTAAATAATAGGTATCTTTACCAGGGATAGGTTATTAGTTGGTTAGTCCGTCTACTTTTAGCCATGAAATCCCAAACTTTGTCCTCAGATTCAACTCCACTGTTTGATGTGACCACGTGAGTGGCTGTACCTGTTGTCTCATGTGTCTTCCCTTCCATGTGGGGTTACTTGGCAAGACTCTGCCCAGGAGCATGGGCTGTCCCCTTTAAATGCTGTCAGTAGAATTGGGAGACAGTGTGAACACTGAAGGATAGCAGAATTAATGGCTTCAATATAGTTCACACCACATGCATTGAAGAATTTAAGGGACTAGTGATATCAGAGATGATGAGCTTATTTTGGGGTGGCTTTGAGGAGTTGGAACAGGTTATCAAAGGGTTGTACCAGTGTTGTTGTTTTTTTTTGTGTGTGTATGTGTATGTGTGTGTGTGTGTGAGAGAGAGAAAGAGAGAGAGAGACAGAGAGAGAGAAAGAGGAGGAGATAGGTAGAGGAAGGACAGGGAGGACTTCCAGAAAGCTGGCACAGCCTGGGTGCAATTTTAGTGACACATATGAGCATGGCAGGGAGAGACTATCTGTGAAGAGTAGTGAAGACTTGGCTTGAACAGGGGAGGGGAGGACATGATCATTGCATGTCTTAAAAGCTAGACTGAAATTTGATTGACTCAGATACAAGAAGCCAATGAGGACAGGGAAATAACACGGTCTTTCATTTAAGTAGATTTTAAATTTAAGAAATAACTGGTTATACATTTGACCACAGTGGTATGCTTTTTTTTTCTCAGAACTTGAGGCAAACTCTTATGGTTTTTAATATTGAAATTCAGACTGTTGGGTTTACTTCTCTTCTCTGTTGTATTTCCCCTGCCAGATTGCTACAGCAGTGAAGTTTCTACAGAATTCCCGGGTACGCCAGAGCCCTCTTGCGACCAGGAAAGCATTCCTTAAGAAGAAAGGTATGGGTTTGTCACACAGAACAGCCAGTAGAAAGTGACTGGGGACAGGGCAGATGGAGGCCATAGTGTGGAAACAGGAGATCTGAGCACATCAGGAATCTCCTGTAGTTGTCTGCTAGTGTGAGAGTGGGGAGAGGAGTGAGAAGAGTCCTCCAAAGAGGAATACAGCTTCCTCTCCCTACAGTAGAGCAGAGAGACCATAGGATTCGCATCACTGAGCACCAGATACAATAAAGCCAAGGTCTTGGCTCAGAACATCATGGCAAAGGCAACATTTGATAGAAAAAGAGGCCCGTTGGATAAGAAGACTATGTATGGAAGACTTCTGCTTTCGGATCTATTCTTCTGTTAATGACCCTGGCTGCAGAATGACTGGCTTCAGGTTAGAGGTCAGCTGCTTCAGTAAAGAATGAAGAAAAAAGAAATGAAGGACCAGAGAGACTAGGTGACTAAACAAGGTCAGGTTAAGGTCAAGCTTGGGGTCAGTCTGATTTACAGATTGAGTGGTAAATTACTGGTTTTATGGTATTTCTGTAGGCAGGAATAAAATGAATACTGACATTCAGTATTGTCCAGCACAGATAGAATCTATTCTGACTCTGTTGGAATCTAGGATTTTTTTGGTCAAATATTAAAAAAACATTAAAAGAATCCTGACTTTTTATTTTTGAATATTTAATTTTCTAGAAATGTAGGAATTTGGTTAAAGGTTCTTATCTACCATGAGAGGAAAAAGTGATTTTTTTTTTTCTCTAAAAACAAGACTGATTCATAGCAACTCTATGTAGGGTTTTCTGTCAATCTTTAAGGGAGCAGACAGCCTCATTTTGAGCTCAAAATTTTGCATTTTGAGCTGTAGGTCATTTGGGGCTAGACTAGAAAATGAAGTGGTTTGGTGGTGTGTTGGTCGGCATGTACATGATGACCCCTGAACTGGTAATCAGGAGAATGTCAATTCCAACACCCATCATGCCCCAGGGCTGCTGCTTACCAGGGCCCAAGCATTTCAGCTCGGGCAGCTGCTTCAAGGCATGACTGGCCTTCAGCCTGGGCCCTATGACAGAGTTGGTGAGGGGCTCTGTGCGCCTGCTGGCTGCACCCTCCCCGCCCCCCCTCACCCCTGTCATTAGGAGATTATTAAAATTTGGAGTGCGTTGGCCAGCCTCTCCACTCTGCAAGCATCATGCCATAAAAGAGTTTTTTCCTTGAAATATGTGTACCTATGGGGAGTAATTAATCATAAAAGCTTAGGGATTTCAGCTCTCTCATCAAAGCATTGAAGCTGGGGAAAGCTGAGCCTAAAAGCTGTGCTGATTACCCGGGGTAACCTGAGACAAAATCTATGGTTGCCGAGAGATCCTTAGCCCCAGTATATTGTGCAATATTATAACTGCCTGATCTTCTCTTCCACCGACAATGACCAGTTATTCCTCATTTTCTCTCAAACGCAGCTGGGCTAGAATTTCATTTGCAGAAGGTATTTAGAGCAATTTAGAGACAAATGTCTCTGGTGTTTGCTCGGCACTTCCCCACCGCAGGCTTTGCTGAGCAGTTTTAGTATCAGGAGCTCCATCTAATCTGTTTAATTTTAATAAATCCCTGACTGGGAGAGGGAGAGAAAAAAGAGAGAGAGAGAAACTCTGGACCAAATAATACTTCTTTTCAGTTACTTGCCTAATAATTACTGTAGAGAAGAAACTGTTTTGTGAAATTATTATTTGTTGCTCCTTAAAAAAAAAAAATCAGTTGATTAATGAATTAATTCAACAAAGAGTGAGCGGTAACCCTTTGCCGATCCCTGTTCTAGGCAGGGGGAACTTAGTAGAGTACAAAACAGGCAAAATCCTTGACTTCGTGGAGCTTAAGTTCTAATGGGGGAAAGCTGACAATTAACAGATAAGATAAAAAAAGAAATGCCCAGTATGTTAAATGGTAAGTGCCATGGGCATAAAATAGTGCAAAGACTGTGGTGAGGGGAAGGCCAGGGTAGGTGTTAGAAGGGATTGCAATTTTAAATTGGGCAATTAGAGTCTGCCTCTCTTTGAGGCTAACATTTGAGTGATGTCCTGAAGGAGATGAGTATTGGTTGGCCGAGTGGACAGGATTCCTTTTTCACTCCTAATCTGAGAATTTTTAGACTCTTAAGCCAGCAGGAACCTTGAGAGGTTCCAAAGAGAACCCCGCACTTAAACCCGGAATCACTGAAGTTAATCACCCATCTCCATTATCCTCTAAAATGCTGCTTCAGTCAGTAATTATCCATTTCCGAGTTGAATCCCAGTAGGGTAAGTTCTGGCAGGACCTTTTCTGGGCAGAGAATTCCAAGGTTTGATCGGTGTCTGGGGAAGAGGAGCCCCTCCGTGGATTTAAACTTCACTTTTTTAATTTCCGGCTGTTCCTTGGGTCAGGCTTACATGATCAGCGAAGCTTGGCACTGTCACTGATGGGGGTGGAAGAGGAGAGGTTCATGAAGAAGAGTGTGCATCTACCCTGCCCTCTTGATAGTAGTTGTGGAAGGACAGAGGGTTGGCTGGCTCACTGGTTGTTGGGGGTGGCAAGCTTTTGGCATCTGCACTCCTCACGCCTCCATGCAGGACTCATTGCAGGGGTGGGTTAGGAGCCCTGGCTTTGGAAGCTCGCTCAGCTACTGTAGTCTTGGCTTTTCCTAGCAAATGTCACTTCGGGGAATTGCAGTGGAGCACTGATTTGAATTATAATCCTGACTTTTTTTTTTTTTTTTTAATAAACATCTCTTTCCTGAAAAGGCAAATCCAATTTTGTTTTTCTTTTAATATTATTTAATATTTAATATAGAAATTGAGGTCCCTGTAGTGCATGTCAGTTCAGTGGAAAATGAGGGCTACTTTAGGCGCATCAGCGGAGTTTGTTTCATTGTGAAACCACAGCCAGGAGCAGGGGCTGCATCCTGCCTCTGTTACTGACAGGTTAAGTGTTGAACTCTCTGATTTCTGGGGCTTGGGAAGATGTGGGGGTGGCTAGTGGAGAATGAGTGAAATAGGGATGGAAGAACATTGCTTTGCAAAGGTCTTTCATGGTTTTTTTTTTTTTTTTTTTGAGATCTCTTGGATGCTTTAAAGTCTGAATATGGAGTCATTAATGAGAAACATGAAGTTATTAGAATCATTTATCATTTACTTTGAAGTTTGTACTGCCATTTTGTGTAATTTACAACATTTCTTCCTTTTATCGAGAATTTTTTGGATGAAAGAGAAAAGCAGCTGTTCACCTTCAGAGTACACGAATAAATGTTTTTGTTTTCCGTCCAACCACTTGATTCTGCAGATGACACATCAGCTGCAGAGTCAGCCACACATGAAGATAATTGGGCTGTGTGTGGGGTTTAAGCCCTCACAGAACTGGTCTATATATAGAGCCAGCTCTTGCCAGACAGGCTTCAGATCTGAGGCTTTAAGCAGGCTGCAGTCCAGGAGGTCAGCTTAACTGAAAAACAGCAATAGAGGCAGTCCAGAAAGTTAGAGGTTTAGAAATTGTTGTCAATAGGCTTATGTTGATTTGACACCCTATCCAACCACAAAATGTAGGAGACAGTCTGCTTCCAAACATGCTTGGCAGGCTGAGTAGAAGGTGGGTAAAAGTGATGTCTTATTGAGGGCTGAGAAGGGAGAAATGTGTGTGGCATTAACTCACTTTTAACTGCATCTGGTGCAAAGCAAGCTCTTACAAAAAAGAGTGGGACCTGGATGGTATTGACTGATACTCCCCCCCTCCCCCCAATTCCCCACCCCCAAATATAAGTGAAAGGCTTTATTCTCCTTCATCTAAGAAATAGTCCACAGTGGAGGAAGAAAACCAAACAAATAGAATACACCATCACTTTTCTTTCTCATTCTAAGAGGTGAAACTAGAGCTTACGTTTTTTTTTTGGTTCCTGGAAGCTGAACCCCCAGTAGCAAAACTGCTTCTTTGCTGGAAATGAACTTGAGGAAGAAAGCAGCTGGTCTCAACCTTGGTTGTAGGGTAGAGGTGAAGGACTTCTCTCACTGGAGTATTTTAAGGGGGAGTAAATTCTAACACAGATTTCAATTTAACTCTCTTTTATTACTTTTCTTTTTTATCATTTAAGTCCATTTCATGAGGTAGTTTGCATGTCCTTGAATGGAATCTCGTTACCATGAAAGCTTTTTTAGCATTGATTTCATAACAGTCTTAATTTAATAGCTCCGTCATTACTGAGAAGCCCTGAGAGTGAGGCCCCAGCTTTCCAGGTCACTGACCTTTTAATTACAAACCTTGTTCTGATGGCCAGGTTATCGACTGGACAGCTCCCAGTTTGTGCCCCCAGGATGCAAACGAAAATAACTTGTGTTTCCTCCCCCATATTCAGGAAAAAATAAAAAGTAACCTCTTGTGTTTCTAAAATTAATTTTCTCCTTCAGTTTTACTTTATAATTAATTCTTTAATGTATCTTAGTGAAGCCAGAAGTCTTCTTACACAGTTTTTTCTCCCCCTCCTAGCACTTGGGTCCAGCAGATAACTTCCAGTGGGGGAGGGGCTAGGGCAGGGATGGTGCCAGCTCCCGTCCCTTGCTTGCTTGTGGCCCATTTCCTCCTCCTAAGAAACTCCTGCTGCTGAGCTGGAAGGACTCGTCCTGACTCTGTAAGGGGCTGTCTGATCTTCTTATTCTTTGTTAATGAGACATGGATTATGGCATTAAAATTTAGATTCATTCCTGTATTTATTGGAGTAATTGGACCCTGCTCTGAGATGAGATGGGTTGAGTGATTTTTCATATTATTTCTTACATCTCTGATGACTGGAGGAGACAAGTACCCTGCACAAGGAGTTGTACTTAGCCGCAAACTGTATGACCCCCAACAGGTTGATCTAGGTTCTCTCTCGCTGAATGTGATGGGGCGTGAGAAAAGAGAGGACAGTGGACAGTAACTAGGGTGACCAACTGGCATGCTTTGCTCAGGACTGCCCTAGTTTTAACACCTGGAAAACCCTTCAGTTCTGG